GATCTGCAACTTCACCACTAAATCTTACACACTGGACCTTTAAGAGGGCTTCATAACCAGTTTAAAAACTCCCTGTAGTAGGTTTAAACAAACAAATACAACACAATAATTCTAAAACGCCACAGTGAATAATTGTAGAGGACGGTTATTCTTTATTCTACTATTCAAAAATAAGACATTGTAAGCAAACTTATTACATTTAGTTCAGTTATAATGCCTAATCTCAGTGTGCATTGGTTTTCATACAGTGTGGTTAGATCTTCCACAAAGCACTTTTTAACTTATTATTTTAACCAATTAAAATGACTATACATGCTAATCATTATAACCCCTATATCTTAAAAATGAGACATCACCATGATCTAAACGAGTCTCTTTTAAAGGCCGAACATGTTCCTGACCATTTACATTACAGGTATACACTGTAAATACAATAACTGACCCTGTGTTTAGAGTTTTGGAGGTGAACGGAGCCCTCTTTCAGTCAATGTGGATCACTGATTGTTCCTCTAACAATGAGACTGGTTTCACTCGCCTGTTTTTAAGAACCCAACGTAGCTTCCCAGGGCTTCGCGGATTTTCTCGGCTCCTTTTGTCTTCATCAGGCTGGTCAGAGGCGTTTCAGGCTCATCTTTATTCAACGATACAGAAATCTGGACAAAGATCACAGCACGGGTATTAGCACACTGTTCCTACACCACGAGAATTATCATACACACGTTTCTCTGGTGAAACTCACATCAAGATCCTCCATGTCGTTCTCATCAGACAGGTTTGGAACTTCGATTGTTCCTTGATATTTGACTCCTGCCTTTGACTTTCCTATTGAAAAAAAGAGAATACAGTTGTTAGGAGAGATTCAAAGCCTCTTTATTCCTCTTTACTTTCAATAATGTAGAGAAAAATGAAAAGACCAACACTGTTTGCAGATGTAGGACCGCTCTTAGACGTACATATTTAACCAAATCCCCCTCCACAACACAATCAACGGTAGCCTCAGTGTCCCACTCACCAGTCCAAGTAGCTTTCAGGTTCCATTCATAGAAGAAAATAAGTTTCCCTTTGCGGTTGTTAATCGAGGCCTCTCCTTCCACCTTGCTGACTTCTGTCACCTCGCAACTCCCCTCTTCGTTCTCCACGCTCAACCCGAGGAGCAGAGCTTTTAACTTGTCCGACGACCAGTTTGTTGCATCTCGTTCAGTCCTGAAAGTGATGAGAGACCACACACACAAAACGGGTAAACCACACAAATCTGAACCTTCTGCATCAACTGTTAACACATAACACACTTCATCTGTTCTTTATTCTTATACCGCTGATCATTTTCACCCCGCACTGTTTAATATTACCACACAGGCTGCTGGTGTCTTTATTTTAATTGTGGTATGGAAATCTGAAGTTTTCCAACTTTCTTCAGATGGTTAACTCACAGTGAACATTACATTTACACATAAATGTCAGAGTCACGTTCACTTGGTTTACAGCTGAATATGTTGCTTTACTACATTACTACACAAGAACAAGAGAACCCTAATGTCATATGTGATGAGTTACCCGCTTCAAGTTAATCTTTATACTTACACTGACATAAACTGTAACTAACGGCCGTCTGGAAGCCAGGAACGACACACACAGAACAATCTAACATCGTATAATACACGACAGAAAACTGCAGTAATGTGGAACTAGATGGCATTATCTCGTAAGTGCCAAGTTATAACAACATGGGGGTAAATGTATGAGTGGCAGGAGGCCTGTGGTGGTTCACGTTTGTGTTTCAAGTCACCAAAGCTGCTTTTTAGTTAAACCAGGAGCCTTTTTTTTTTTACTTTTAATACAAGAAAGGAGTATATTTACTCTACAGACACTTAAATATGGCACAATACTATCATCTTTATATCTGTCCAGGCACAGAATACATTTCTACAGTGATTTCTATAGGCTATAATGGGGAACACCCTAAAAGCAGCATACAGTTCAGTGTCTGTACATCAAAGCATAAAGGAAATGTGCTGCAACCCGAATACTTAAGGCCACTTTCATACCAATAGCTCCTGCTCACAACAAGATAAAAAAACTACTTCAAGGACACAGAAATCTGGATGTATTGAAAACATCTTCGTGTGTCGCTGCAGACAATGAGATGACATTTACAGTCACGATGTCAACGCTGCTTCCTCCCAAACGCTTCCACACAGGAGGGGAAACTTTCTAACTACGTGATTAACACTTCACAGCAGGTTATCACACCGAAACACAGACTAATGAAGCGCCAGCGACGGCTCGCAGCCTCAATGCATGCGTTAGAGGCAGCAGCAGAAAGCTAAAGGCGAAGCTAACACGATCATAAGGTTAGCCCCGTCCCTCAAATAAAAGTCTATTTTACGTTAATAATACTCCACGTGTCGCACTCACGGCTGCTTGTGCGCGATTTAAAAACACTAAATTATCAGTATGTTGTACAAAAAGTAAAAAAAAACAGCTGCAATTTGACACAAACACGAGATAAATGAGTGTTAGCGTTTAGCAGGGTGCTAGTTCCTTTGATCGGGTCTCACCAGTGCCAGTTGTTGACATTAGTCGCATCGGCTCTCTCCTCCACGATCCAACGAGGGTCTCCTTCTCCCCACTTCGCCATTATTCAGACAGCTAACTGCTTTAAAGTAATAAAGTTTGAGTGTGTAACTGTGTGTGTAACTGTGTGTGTAACTGTGTGTGTGTGTGTGCCGGTGACTGTCCGCTGCACGTTGTTTCTAGAAACCTCTCGCTGCTGCTGCTGCCTCTGGTGCTCCCGCGTTTATCCGCCGGGCTCAGAAGTTACTGGAAACGGAACCTTGTAGAAGGAGGTTTTAAAAAATAATCATAATAATTTGTTCCGCCTGCCGGAAGTGATTTTCTTGAAGAATAGTTCCG